GTCGACCATCGACTTGCAACTAGAGAGTGTGTGTGTTTGTCGGGGCCACCAGTTGCAAGCTGACCATCGACTCGCAACTAAGGGTGTTTTATGTTTGTCGGGGCCCCCAGTTGCAAGCCGACCATCAACTCGCAACTAGGGTGTGTGTGTGTGTGTGTTTGTCGAGGGTCCCAGTTGCATGTCAACTGTCGACTCGTAACTAGGGGTGTGTTTGTGTGTTTTTCGAGGATCCCCAGATGCATGTCAACACTTCAACTCGCAACTAAGGTTGTGTGTGTGTTTGTCGAGGGCCCACAGTTGCAAGTCAGACATCGACTTGCAACTGGGAGGGGTGGAGGCGAAGTGTGTTTCTAAAGGTCCAGTTGCAAGTCAACCATCGACTCGCAACTAAGTGTGTCTATGTTTGTTGTGCTCCCTAGTTGCATGTTAATCATCGACTCACAACTAGGGTGTGTGTGTTTCTGTCGAGGGTCCTAGGTGCATGCCGACCATTGACTCGCAACTACCGTGTGTATGTGTGTTTTGTCGTGGCCCAGGTTGCATGCGGACCATCGACTTACAACTAGGGAGTGTGTATGTTCTGTTGTGGCCCCTAGTTGCAAGCCGACTATCGACTCGCAACTAAGAGTGTTTGTGTTTGTTGAGGGTCCCTAGTTGCATGTCGACCATCAACTCCTCATTAGGGGTGTGTCTGTTTTGTCGTAGGCACCTAGTTGCAAGCCAAAGATAGAGTTGCAACTTAGGGGGAGTGTGTGTTTGTCGAGGGTTCGTAGTTGCATGTTGACCATCAACTCGCAACTAGGCGGGTGGGGGTGGGAAAGTGTGTTTCTACAGGTCCAATTGCAAGTCAACCATCGACTCATAACTAAGGATGTATGTGTTTGTCGAGGCCCCCAGTTGCAAGTTAACAATCGACTCGCAATTAGGGGGGTTGTGTGTGTTTATCGATGGCACCAAGTTGCATGTCGACCATCGATTCCTAACTAAGAGTGTTTGTGTTTGTCAAGGGTCCCCAGTTGCAAGCCTACCATTGACTCGCAACTAGGGGCGGTGTGTTTGTCGAATGGCTCCCAGTTGCAAGCCGACCATCGACACACAACTAAGGGTGTCCGTGTTTGTCGTGGTCCCCAATTGCATGTCAATCATCAACTCGCAACTAAGAGCGTGTGTGTTTGTCATGGTCCCCATTTGTCAATGTGTGTTTGTCGAGGGTCCTTAGTTGCATGTTGACCATCAAATCGCAACTAGGGGGTGTGTTTGTTTGTCGATGGTAGCAAGTTGCATGCCGACCATCGATACGCAACTAAGAGTGTTTGTGTTTGTCGAGGGTCCCCTGTTGCATGTCAAACGTCGACTCGCAACTAGGGGTGTGTGTGTTTGTCGAGGGTCCCTAGTTGCCAGCTCACCATCGACTCGCAACTGGGGTATGTTTGTCAGTGGCGCTCAGTTGCAAGCCGACCATCGACTCGCAACTAGTGTGTATGTGTGTGTGCGTGTGTTTGTCGAGGGTCCTCAGTCGCAAGCCAATCATAGACTCGCAACTAAGGGGTGTTTTTTGTGTGTTTGTCAAGGGTCCCCAGTTGCAAGCAGACCATCGACTCACAACTAGGGGGTGTTTGTCGATGGCGCCCAGTTGCAAGCTAACCATCGACTCGCAACTAGGAGGA